ACGCGAAAATATGTAAATTCGTGTATATCTTAATAAATTTTGAATAAAAAAGTCTAATTTTTTGCAGGTATGCTTAGAAATACACCTACTTTAAGATGATGGTAAAAATTTTATAGGTTATAATTCCAAAAGTTTTTTTTTTCGAAAAATTTAAAAAATTATTTAAAAATAGAATTAAAAAATAAAACACAAAAATGGATAATTTTATTTGGAATGAACCTAAATTTTGAAATGTGAAAGGAAAAATAATAAAAATTTAATAACAAAAAGAGATATTAATAAATATTTACCAAATTCAATTAAAATTAACATTGAGGAGCTAAAATTTTGAGAGCTATAATTTTAAAAACTACTAGTACGATTTTTACAAAACTTGGTATTCTGGCATAATTTGAGTCGTAGAATCGAAATATGGGAAAAAATTGGTATGTTATTTCAGAAAAAGTCCGATTTTGTGTCAAAATACCTATGTTAGAATAGTGCTATATATAAATCTAATATATATCCTATAGCGCGCTTTTGAGACATGAAAAACACAGTTTGAATTTTGTCAATCGTCCCAGTAGAACAGGAGATATAGTTCTGTCCCCCCTTTTTTTTTAGCAGTGTGCCTCTGGTAATTTATCTATGGTGAATAACTATGGCTTTCATATTTGGCACTGTTAGCCTGTTTTTGGTGTGAAGGTATAGTTTGAAATTGATGATAATACTAACACCTAAAGTCTGATTTTTGTTCAACATTAAAAAGAAAATAAGTGGCCCAAAATTTGAGTCCTTCAAATAATTATTATTAATTGCTTTGGGAAAGTTAAAGAAGCATGTTAAAAAAAATAAAGGAAGTTAAAGAAGCATGTTAAAAAAATTCGTCACCAAGCTGTGGCGGTCCTGCAAGTCACTTGTACCGGTATTCTGCAACATGTGCAAGATACCCTGGGTGTTCCCGTGTCGACCAGAACCATTTCCCATCGATTGGTTGAATGTGGCCTGCACTCACGGCGTCCGTTAAGAAGACTGCCATTGACCCCACAGCATAGACGCTGACGTTTAGAATGGTGCCAGACTGCAGCGATGGGGATGACAGAATGGTAAAACGTTGTGTTCTCAGATGAGTCACGCTTCTGTTTATCCAGTGACAGTTGCCGCATATATGTGTGGCGTTGACGTGGAGACAGATCTATTCCGGCAGTAATCTGTGGAACGTCCCACTGCGCGACAACGAGGCATAATGGTTTGGGGCGCTATTACCTACAATTCCAGGTCACCTCTAGTTCGTATTCAGGGCACTATGACGGCCCAACAATACTTGGATAATGTACTGTGGCCTGTGGCTATCCCCTACCATCAGGAGCTGCCTAATGCAATTTTTAAGCAGGATAACGCCCAACCACACAGTGCTTGCATCTTCCAACATGCTCTGCAAGGTATACAGATGCTTCCCTGGCCACCATACTTTCCTGACCTGTCACCAATCAAACATGTGTTGGATGTGATTGGACGCCGTTTGCAGACTCTGCCCCTGCCTCGTTCAGAAGACTAACTGTGGCAAATTGTTGAAAAGGAATGGAGAGCCATCCCTCAGGACACCATCGCACTCTTATTGATTCTATGCCTAGACATGTTTCTTCGTGCATCGCTGTCCGCGGTGGTCCTACATCCTACTGAGCCGATGCCGTTCTCGCTCTGTATTCTGACTATCATTTTGAAATAAAGATCACTTATTGCTGCTTGCTGTCTCTGTCTTTTTCCCAAATTTCATCACTTTCTGACCACTCCTTCTTGATGTTGCATTTTTTAGTGTCAAGCTGTGTAAATTACAGCACAATAAGCATGTATAATTTTATTTGGAATTTTCAGCACTATGGTCCATTTAGCATGTTCCTGTAATCAAATTTCTTTTATCTGTATTTCAAAGAAATTCATTTTCTTTGTTTATCCTGCATTTGTACCACTGACAATTAAAATCAAATGTATTTAAAATTACTAATATTAATTATTGCATTCTTTAAATTGTTTTTAAATTTGTTTAAACTGCTAGGCTAATGAACTGTTATTTACAGAATAATTATATAATAAGAAACTAAGTAAGTCATAGCAGAAAATAAAAAAACAGAACTGTTTTAAGCATGATACTTTAATATTGTGCTGTGACAGAGTAGAAATTCAAAGGAACATGTACTAAAACTGCATTATTAACTCATTTTAGAATTTAAAGTGTTTGTATTTTATGCTGTGTACAGAAATAGTCTCAATTTTAGTTAATTAGTGTATGATAACTTCTACCAAAGAAATTTTATGAAGAAAAAATTTATCAGGTATTAATGGATAATGATTTTTCAGTACTATTCGGTTTTGAGGGCCGTAAAAAATCGCCAAACTATGGCTGATGCCAGTACTGCCAAAAATAATTGCGGCAACCCTAATGCAAGAAAGGAAGTATAATAGTAAATAACTATTTAAGATTGATGTTTTAATTTAGATGAAAGTTTAATTTCATATAATACTATTTTATTATTATAATTTATATAAAAAAAGGCTAAATATGACTGAATGGAAGCATAAGAGTAAATAACTATTTCAAATCATTATTATAATTTAAAAAATTTTTAAACATAACTGAATGGATGCCTGCATCACTATTTCGCTACCGAGTTATCGCTAAAGCATAGTTTCATCTCATTGGTTGTTCAAACATAATTTTCTATAATGAATGATGCTTTTTCTTTGAAAAAATTCTCAGTAAAGTGCAGAATTGCCCACTTATTTGTTTGCCACTTTTTACAAGGGTCAAAAACAATTGGATTTTTGTCAATTTTCTTTTACTTTTTAAGTGAAAATAAGTCGATGTGTACATAGAAAAAGTCAAGGGTATCTGCAGTGCCATTTTCATGCAATTCTGGGATTTTTTATTAAGTGAAAATGGGTCAATGTGTACATGGATACCAAGTATGTGCAATTCTTAAAAACACGTCAAGTAGTGGGTGATTCTGCACTTTACTCAAAATTCTATTGCAAACTTTTCATCACAGGCAATTCCCAAATTGTTAAATCCATGGGATATCAAAAAAGGAATTAAAAATAAAACTAGTATTTCAATGGAATCTTAAAGAATATAGAACTATATAAACTTACGCAATCTGAAATCAGCGCATACGCTAGATTTGGCACTCTGTTAAATGGGCACATTTGCGCATACATTTTCGCTGCAATTTTTTTACATTCTGGAATAGTACCATTTTATTTAATTAAATAATAATAATTTATAAGGTATTTCTCCCACATTCTTGGCGAGCTTTCGTGGTGTAGTGGTCAGCACACTCAGCGTGTATTTGAGAGGTCGACGGTTCAATTCCCGGCGAAAGTGTTGCTAATTTTTCATCTTGTCTGCTTCTAAAAATACCTAATGTCTCTAAAAATTAGTTAAATAATAATTAATTTTGTAATAATCAACTATTTAATTTTTAAATTATTAATGATTTTAATAGACATTTTATTTATTTCTTTACTTTTGTTCCTCTTTGCTGATAGTCTTCCGTAGGGCTCCGGCATTTCTAATTTTAGAAATTATGCCCTAGCATCAGTACAAACTTTCTAAAAATTTCTGAGTGCCTTAAACCTCTGACTGCTGAATTTGTGGACCGAAATCGCTTCAAAAATTGCTCATTTACTGCTTATTACAAATTCTTAAATTTCGTGATAAAATGCTTTACTCCATTTTGCTACTGTCTTAAAAATGGTACAGTACAAAGTCCGTAATCCAGACATCCATTATCCGGACCTCAAAGCCACAAACTTTACGCATGCGCATAATGTATGCTTTACGCATGCGCGCATTGAAAAAAATGTTTAATAAAGTAAACAAATAAATATTAACCTTTTTTTTTTTTTTTTTTTTTTTTTTTTTTTTTTTGGTAAATTTTGATACTCTTTACATCGTAATTGCTCTTTTTTTTATAAATTATGATTTCATGTTTTTAATTTTATAATTTCTGCATGCCATCCTACCAAATTTAAATTGATGATCTATAATCCGGAAGAAAAAAAAAACCCTAATCTGGAATCGCGAAGTCAAAAGAATTGGATTTTTGTCAATTTTCTTTGTCTTTTTAAGTGAAAATATATCGATGTGTACATAGGTAAAGTCAAGGGTGCGCACAGTGCCTTTTTTGTGCAATTCTGGGTTTTTTTTTTTTTTTTTTTTTTTTTTTTTTTTTTTTTTTTTTTTAAGTGAAAATAGGTTGATGTGTACATGGATACTGAGTATGTGCTATTCTTAAAAACGCGTCAAGCAGTGGGGGATTCTGCACTTTACCCAAAATTCTATTCCTACTTTTTGTCATGGGCAATTCCCTAATTGTCAAATCCATAAGATATCAAAAAGAATTTAAAATCCAAAAAGGATTTAAAAATTAAACTAGTATTTCAGTGGCGTCTTAAGAAGTATAAAACTATATAAACTTACGCAATCTGAAACCAGCGCTGTTAAATGGGCGCGTTTGCTAGATTTGGCGCTTTTGCGCATACATTTTCGCTGCAATTTTTTTACGGTCCTCAAAACAGAATAGTACCAATTTTTCTAATGTCTTGAATATAAGTGATAAATTTTAACTTTCATTGTTAAGACAAAAGATGAAATTATATATAACTTACCATTTGTGCCATTGGCTTATAAAACTGGGGTTATATTATATTATTGAATAAACCAAATTTTGGAGAAAATAGTACTGTTTAAATTTTTAATATTTATAGTATATGTGTATGTATGTATATCACACATATATGTAAAGAGTAAATTATGTATAAATTTTTATTTTTTGACATAGATAACTATCTAATCATAAAGAAAAATTGCATAAAACTTTGAAATGAACTGAAAACATCATAATTCACAATCCATTCCATTTTTATGCATATTAATTTCACAGAAAATTTCATGACTTTAATTTTTTTTATTTCTAATTATTAATGGGTGTGTGAGTGTATATATATAAAACTTTCAACAGATGACCTAAGAGTTTGCTCCTATTGCTGTGATATGGTATTATCGTGTGTAAGATCCTTATATTCTGTGCCTCGAACTGATGAAGACACTCCGTCTTTCCATGAGAACCAACCACAGAAGCGTAGTACTGACTTTTCATCAGAAACATTAACAAGTCCCCTAGGTGTTATGTCGCCTGCCAGAAGAAAAAGCTCTGTTGTGGGTTTTCGAGAAGAAGATATAGCTAGAGCAAAGTAATTTTCATGATTTATATAAATAATCTCATAATAATCTTTTACACTTTTATTAGAAAGTTTCCATAACTTTTTAACTTCTGTGAATTATAATTCTTTAAGTCATTTCCTGTTAACTCTTGTTACTTTTAACCTTAATTCATTGTTGAAAAAATTTTGAACTCTAAAAATGCTCTTTCATTATTACATCACAGTGTTCATTTTAATACAATTCATGATATTCAATTAATTTGCACAACTGAATTGTGAATTTGAACTGTGTCTTTACACTTATATCTATATCTTTTCATTGAACATGCAGAAAACATTTTTAAAGGTTTCAACAGCCTGAAAATTTTGCAAGCCATATAGCTTAAAGATACTGAAAACGTTTAGAAAAAAATAGGTGTTCAGTGGATACATGAAATTTATGGGAGGTATTAGTCTACATTTGTAATCATAGAGGTGTCATTTTGTAAATCTTGACAGCTGTGTAGTAAATTGCAGCAAAGGTAAATCATTATATTCTCTGGAAGTTATGTGAAATAGATTTAGAAATGCTACCAAGAAATTGGATCCAGGTATATAAGTGTGGAAAAAAATCAAAAAAGTTAAATGGAGAGCCTGCTCTGAAAATTACAAGAAAAGTACAGGAAAGTATGCATAAACATATAACATTGTTTAAAATATTTTCTCAGGTCTCCTTAAGCATCTCTCTCATGATAGAGAAGGTGCTAAAGACTATCAGCTATGTGTGATGTCTACCACATTCAGCACTTCCTTTGTGTTTGCAAAGTGCCTCTCATGGAGCAGTGTCATCACTTTCAAAGCAAAGTCGCATTTGTTCAATTCAATAAGTTGTTCCCCCCCCCCCTTCCTTTTTTCAAACCTCTTACTGTATCTGCTCTGAATGTTTCATCACAAGATCTACAGTATGCACTGTGTTATCATGGAAGATTGACATTATGCGGAAGTGCTGGACGTTTTACCTAAGTTGCACAACACAGATAGTGCAGCAAAAATCTGTCATACTGGGCATTCAGTCTGAATTTTATGAGCAAAATGAATTGAAAAACACTCATTTTCACATACTAAAATAAATGATCATGGGCTTAGGATATGATAGATTCTGTCTAACATCATATAATGATGATGCCATTTGTTTGAGTGATTTCTCAGTTCATGTTTATATACTTTTGCTTATGTGCCATCAGCACATTAGGGATCGTATTCCGGGCCTGTGGCACTGCTGCGCGATACGATACATTACTGCCACCAGGCAAATATAGTATATGCATACCTGTAATAAAAAATTCTATTGCAAATTTTAATCATTATTCTTTTTCTTCTGTAAAATTTTTCAAACCGAGCCAAGGTGATTGCGCTAATATATACCATATTTTGTCAATCTTTTTTATTCTTAAAAAATTATTTTACATCTTCTTGTAATGATTAGAAAATAGACCATAATGAAGTGCATATTAATCCACTTGCATGATAAGCTTTACTGTATTTAAATTTCATTAGTATATGGTTAATGTTTGATAAAATTCTGCTATTATTTGTTTTCAGTGGCAATTATAAAGCTCAATGTCTTCTCAAATATTGCTGTTGTATCTCTGAACATGCACTGGATTTTTGGTACTTTTCTGTCAACAGGATGCCAAACATAAACTTAAGTACAAAATGTTCGCAACCCTAATTATACATAAAGCTTCTTGGGGGGAAAAAATGTGTTAGAACAGTAATGTATCATATAATATACGTAATGTTTAATATACGTAATGCTTACATGGAGAGTGATCACTGTGTATATGGGAAGAATTTTTATTCTTTTCATGTACACAGCAATCTGATTGTACTTTAAAAAAAGTAAAGAAATCAAACAATTGCATAAATTCAGCAGTGTGCAATGTCTTAGTATTGCGCACCTTAAGCATTGCACTGTTGTTATTGACACTAAATAGGCTACCATATTTGGTGCACATTTGGCAAATAGAATCCCGTGAACATGCTCATTACTAAAGCTGGTACTTCCTTGTATAATATGGTGCATCCATTAACACACATAAAAATGGAAAGACCTTGTTAGTAGAGGTGTCATTGAAGCCATGGACTAAATTTAGATTGTTTTAAAGTTAACAGAAAAATTTTAATAAATGTAATAAATACTTTGAATTTCCCTAACTGACCGCAGGCTAGAAAATTAAAGAATTTTTGGTCTCCTGGCTGAAAAGATTTTTTGACCTCGCCAACATTCATATTACACAATGTATTACAATTTATGTTAATAACAATTATCAATACAGTGTAAGTCACATATTACAGAGATGACATGTCTAATCCGATAGTTAAATATTCAAGAATTTTACATTTCATATATAAACTAAACTTCAGTTTAAGTTACAATTCAGCTATATTTAACCATATTTTTCATTAATTGTAGAGTAACAGATATTACTTGATCTGTGTGTTTAAACTTTAACAATCAAAACAAATTAAGAGTATAATTCTGATTCTTTAGAATATATACATTCCATTAGACTTAAGATAATAGATTCTTCTCGATTAGTTTGTACGAGCTTGAACAGCACATCTTATGACAGTACTTGTGAAAACAATTTAAGTCTTTTAGCATTCATGCCTGGACATTCTATAATCATATGTAAAGCATCTGCCATTGTATTACCACAAATACAAGAGCATTTATTCTTTTCAAGTTGAATCTATTTAAATACAGGGTTATTCAAAAAGAAAGAGCGGATTGCAAACATGTATTTCTTCCAAACTGAAAAAGATAGAAACATGATTCTAACGTTAATGGATAGAGAAAAGTGTACAATTTAGTACGGATAAAAGTTCCAATCATGGCCACATTGGCCCTGTTGTTTGTTCTGGTATTATTTGTCAGTTGGTAGTCTGTAGTGAAATGGCCGCAACACCACAGCAGAAGTCTTTTTGTGTTCTACAATTGGCAAAACTAGAGTTCATTTTTGCTGTTCAATGAGCATTTCGGCGTCAATTTAATAAACAACCACCGCGTCATAAGCAAATTTACGAGTGGCATCGAAAATTCGTAGAAGGTGGTTGCGTCTAAAGCACGGGACGTCCACATACATCGAATGAGAATGTCGAGCGTGTTCGTACACTTTACGAAAGGAGCCCAAAGAAATTCACATCCCGAGCAAGCAAAGAACTTATAAATTCTCAACCAACGGTATGGTGAGTTCTAAAACATCGTCTGCACATGAAGCCATACAAACTGCAGTTATTGAATGCATACGATAATTGTAAACTTTTCTCTATCCATTAACATTAGAATCATGTTTCTATCTTTTGTAGTTTGGAAGAAATAAATGTTTGAAATCTGCTCTTTCTTTTTGAATAACCCTGTATTTTGAAACACTGTGTGATTTGTGTAAACTTTGTTCAGGAAAAACTATAAAAAATGTCTCTTTTCTGAAACTTTAGAGAAGAATTAAAAGGAATATAAAAAGTTCCTGCATCATCTTCAGTCCACCTTTCTTGTCAGATTTCCATTCTTTTTCCCTTGGCCAATAAAGTTTGGAAACACATACAGTTATGCATTCAGTTATAAAGTAAGTTTGTGGATTTGCTTATTTATCAGATTTTTCATTTCCAATGGCTTCCTGGTGCCCTTGGATCCAATGAAAGCTCGTTTTCATTTTTGGAAGTACATTTTTAATTTCTATAATATTAATGTTTAAAATGTTATATTTCTGTATTGATTTTAACACAGCTTGATTATCTAAACAGAGATTTGCCCTTATTTTATTATGTTTGATCCATTGTAAAACTTTAACTAAAGGCATTGTTTTGCCTGGTAGACTGAATATCTTCTATGTAGTGAAGAAGACCATCCATCTTTATATATGCCATCGTGATAAATACAGAATCCTGCCTCGATGCCATCATCATTTTTTGAACTGTCCGAATATAGCTCAAAACCTCTATTCTTAGGAGAGCGTAAATCCCAACAGCGCTTTCAATGTCCAACTCTATAGCTAGTGGAATCATGCATACTAAGATTTGAAGGGACAAAGTAGATACTTAGTAGTAGTAGACAAAGTAGGACAAAGTAGATATTATAGCACTTTGTCATTGCTAATAAAGCTATTCTTTGAATACCATTTACTTTTTTGCTTTTTTTGACTGTGGGTGATTTCAGTTAAGCTGGACTAGCATAAACTGCTAGTCCTGCTATTGCTGTTTTGTATAATTCTTTAATGACCATTTTTAGAAAGCCCAGTCATGATAATTATTTTATTAACAGTCTTGCTTGTCTTTGCTTTTAAGTAATCCATATGAGGTAGCCATATTAACTTTTCATCAGTGATTAATTATTCCAATATATTTAATCACTTTTTTCTATTTATAGTTTACTCATCTTAATTGCCATAGCTGTTAATGCCATTCCACTCTTTTAACTTGTTATAAACATCAAACTTGATTTCTCTGAAGAGAATTCTGATTTACACCTTTGTGCCAATTCTTGCAATTTTATCAGTTTTGTTTTTCTTTCCCCTCTATTTTGAACTTGTACATGTGTACTGTCAGTTATTATGAATAGTGCATCATCTGCATAAGCTTATTTATGTATGCCATCGCCATGCTCCAATTCTAAAGTGGAGTTCGTAACAATGTTGAAGAACAGAGACCCAGTACAACCTTGTACACAACCTTTCTCTTAAGATCTATCGAACATTTTATTATTCATTTCGAATAGTATGTATCTTCCTATCTTTCAACATATCTACAGTTGTCTTATATATGTTTACTGGACAGCCATACTTCTTCACTTGCATAAGAAAGAACCGCCACCAGATGTTATTGAATGCAATTCTCTGCACTGAATGTCCAGAGATATAATATTTGTATATCTTTTATTCCTTCTATTTTCTTCAAATACTATAATCTTTTGACGTGCAGACTGAAGTTAATCCATATTGTAAATGGCTAAGTTTGTTATTTGAATATATCTAAAAGTAACTTAACCTTGT